GTCCATAGCAGATCTGAGAGCATGCAGCAATGTACATACTTTGGGTGAGATGGTTGTCAGCTCGTGGGCTTACTAAACAAATGTGCTGTTCTGGTTGGGGTGCAGACAATGAGGGAGTCTGGGGGCATTTGAGGACAGGGATGGGGGATGGAGTCTCTGTACTGTCAATTTAATGTGAACTTAAAATTGTACCAAAAAGTTAAACAAAACAACAACTAAACATTTGTAGGTTGGCAAGGTGGCTCAGTGGATAAAGGTTCAGTCACCAAGCCGGATGAGCTGACTGCGATAGCGAGCAAATTAAACCTGCATCTCAGGTTAGTCAGGTAAGTAAATAGTGTCTCTATTGTGCTCTTATTTAGCTCGGGAACCCGCTGTCCCTCAGATTGCGCTGTCCTTTGGTGTTTTATATCACTGTTTACAAAATTTCAGTACATAGACCTGTATTTACTATATTAAGTGATTATCCAAATTTAATTTTTCCTTTCTCCCTTCTTTCCTTTCCTTTTCCATTCCTCCTTTCTCTCCTTCTCTCTCTTCTGCTCTTCCCCCCTTTCCTTTCTAGATAGGGTCTCATGTAGCTCAGGGCTAGCTTTGCACTCACCATGTAGCTAAAGATGCCCTTGAACTTCTGACCCCACTGCCTCTACTTCCCAAGTGTTGGAGTTACAGGCGTGCACCAGCAAGTCTTGTTTTAGATGCATGCTGGCCTTGCACTCTGCCAGCGGAAGTAGCCCACTTCCTATGTCTGTTTCTTTGGGTGGATTCTCATTGGTATTTAGATTCTCAGGTCCGTAATCTCAATCTGTAAATATGAGCAGTTTTGCTTTCTCCTCTTCTGTCTGTCTGCCCTTTATTTCTCATTATTGACTATGTATTGTCTAGAATTTCTAGCACAATGTTGAACAGAAGCTTTGAGGGTAGATCTCGTCTCTCGTGCGGTCTTGAGGGGTTGGAGGAGCTGTTACAAGTATGCTAGTTGTAGGGTTCTCGTAGATCTCCCTTATCAGATTTCTAAAATGCTTGAGTATTTTTATCATGAGCAGGTGTTGAATTTGGCAAGTCCTTTTTCTCTGATGAATCACTTTGATGTATCGTTGTCTTTTGAGTGTGATGAGACATTTTATAGCCCAATTATACATGACCCGAGTACCTAGGGTACTGGACACTCATGCTCCCCAAAGGAAAATCTGAGATGGTGGCTCTGAGTGTGTGGTCTTATGCCAGTGAAGACTTCCGACTTTGACATGTGTGGGAGTATGAAAGGCACAAGCAAGCTTTATTAGAGTTATAGAAAAGTAAGAAACGGAGGGGAAGCAAGGGACTTTCAAGACTGGGAGGAGTTTTCACAGAGGTTAACAGCTATTGAACTTCCTGGTTTAGGGGTTTTTATAGAGCTATGGCAGAAACTGGACAAAGGCTGAGGTAAGCTCTGTGGTTTGTCCACTGTGCTATCATGGGCAGAAACAACGGAGGCCCCTGAACTCTTCAAATGTCCCCCTGGCCCACCCAAGGAGATGATCATGTGCTGTCCTCCCAGGAGGGGTGATGAGTCCTCCTCTTGTCCATGTCTGACTCTGACTTTGTTAGTCAGTGATCTTAACTGTCTGCTGGTCCTTAGACACTGGCTGCCATTGCTATCTCTAACTTTTCAGGTGTCTCAATTGCTATTAATTATACTAAGCTAGTTTTGCTCTTCAAACCTACCAAGACGGCTGGAGGGATGGCTCAGTGGTTGAAAGCACTCTTCCAGAGGACCTGTGTTCAATTCCCATGCCCATATGGTGACTTACAACCACCTATAACTCCAGTTCTGGGGTATCTGATGTCTTCTTTTGGCCTCTCTGGGTACCAGGCATACACATGGTACAGAGACATACATGTAGGTAAAATAACGACACAATACAATCACACACACACACACACACACACACACACACACACACACACTGCACTAGGTATATTTCTAGGGATTTTTCATGCCAGACAGTGCAACTAAAGAAAGTTTTACAAAAATAGGTTTTTTTTTTTTAAACTTTTTTTTTTTATTTTCAAGACAGGGTTTCTCTGTGTAGCCCTGGCTATCCTGGAACTCACTCTGTAGACCAGGCTAGCCTCAAACTCAGAAATCCACCTGCCTCTGCCTCCCAAATGCTGGGATTAAAGGTGTGAGATAGAGTTATTTTAGTACCACTATGGGGGCATAATTAAAGAGCTTGGGAAGGTTGTTTCAGGGGAGGGGAGAGAGGAAGTGATGCCAGAGAGAACCCTGTTTGGATGAGAGAATTGTGAAGAAAGGACTGAGGGACCGTGAGTGTCTTTTCTCGATTGTACTCAGGTCATCTTGCCTGTTGACATGCCCAGCCCTAGCCCTGGCTATCAATAGGCTAACAAACTCCTATTCTTACTTGGAGCTACTTCATAATGCTCTATTTAGACACTGGTATTTTCTTCCTTCCTTCCTTCCTTCCTTCCTTCCTTCCTTCCTTCCTTCCTTCCTTCCTAAAGAATTATTTTATGTTTATAAGTACACCATAGCTGTCTTCAGAAATACCAGAAGAGGGCATCAGATCTCATCACAGATGGTTGTGAGCCACCATATGGTTGCTGGGAATTGAACTCAGGACCTCTGAAAGAGTAATCAGTGCCCTTAACCCCTAAGCCATCACTCCAGCCCTGGTATTTTCTTTAGATGTTTCCCAAAGAGGACACTGAGGCACTCTAGATCCAGCCAACCCTGACTTCAGCCCCCAGAGTCAGTCAGTGCGTGCAGAGGTATCAAGAGTTTTCATGAGATGTAGTTCAGACATCTTTGGATCAGTGGTGGGGAGAAAGAATGGGTCTGGAAATAGGATTTGGACTTCTGTCTGCATCAAAGGTCAGGTCAGGTTGGGACCTCGCTGCTGTTTTGAAGACTGAGTGGCACATGACCATTACCATTCCAATACCCAGACACAGGAAATCCTCACTGTTGTGGATTTAGTTTAAGGCTTGTATGATCTTAATTGGGTTCCCAAAATTATACGACTGCAAAATTATGTGTCTGCATATAAGATGCTGAGGGTCCCTGCCCCCAGTTGTCTTTGATTGGTAAATAAAGTCGCCGGTGGCCAATGGCTGGGCAGGGAGACAGAGGTGGGACTTTTAGGAAACTGGGCAAGGAAGGCAGGAGGGAGAAGGAGAGAGGAACGATATACTAGGGAAGGAGCACTGGAGGACAGAGAGACTGCCAACATGTCAGACTTGGGGATCATGGCTCAGAAGGTCTTCAGGCCTGGGTCTGGGGTGGCCAGGATAGAATACTGGTTTTAGTAAGTGATAATTCAGGAATATGGGAGGGGAGAATGTACTAGCCAAGTGTAGACAAATGTACTAACCCAACCATCGAGCTGACTAAGGCATATTAAATATAAGGTTAGTGAGTGTGTGTGTGTGTGTGTGCATGTATGTGAGTGTGTGTGAGTATGTGTGTGCATGTGTGGGAGTGAGTGTGAGTGTGTGTGTATGGGGAAAAATATTGGTCACAGCTGTGGAGTCCCAGTGGGTTTCCACGCTGCACCAGGTTCCACATGCAGGAGGAATGTCTAATGTTCTAGCAGCCTGGAGGCTTTGGCGGCAGGCCCCAATAACACAAGAAAGTCCTTGGTTCCAAAAGGGTTTATTGTCATGGCGGATGGTGGATGAATCTGGAAGTACCCCCATCAAACTCAGGCCAGTCCCGAGTTAAATAGGGAGGGAGAAAGGGGGAGGATCTGGGGAGGCATGCTTAATTTGCTCTGCCCTCTGGCCTTCATTAGTATGTAAATCCCTAGGGCCTGAGGCCTCTAGTCATACCCTCTACCTGTGCACTTTGGGAGGGGCTGTAATGGCTGGGCTACATGACTGAACAATGTAATTCTGTGGAGACTAGACTGCTTTTCAGGACCCTGGGTTCTGGGGGTGCGCCAAACTCCTGCTGGTTCTCACACAGAGTCTCGAGGTTCTAGGCAACTGCCCAGCCATGACCCAGACTACCCTTATGAAGTCCCACATGTGTGCATGTGTCAGAGTGTGTGTGTGTGTGTGCTGTGTGTGTGTGAGTGTGTGTGTGTGAGTGTGTGTGTGTGGTGTATATGCATGTGTGTGTGAGTGTGTGTGTGGTGTGTGTGTGAGTGTGTGTATGTGTGAGTGAGTGTGTGTGTGAGTGTGTGTGTGTGAGTGTGCAGTATTTGTGTGTGTGAGTGTGTGTGTTGTGTTGTGGGAACCAAAAATTAAAAACAACTCAGCAAAGACCACCAACATCTTGCTGAAGGTAGCCATAATAAAGATATCAGGCCCCTCCAGGGACAGGGTGACCAGAAATGTAGAGACAAGCAAGGACGACATGCCCTGACAAGCCCAAACATGCCCTGGTGAGAAGTGGGCCACCTGGTGTTTTTCTCCCCTCCTTGGAGGTCTGTGGTTTTAAGATCAAAAATAGCAAGTCATCCTGCCCGCCAAAATGATTGCTTATGCAAAAATGCTGATATTTGAATTATCCAATTATATGTAACCGTGCCAGAATTTCCCGCTTCCCCCTTGCCCCTTGCACTGTCCCCTATAAAAACCCTGAGCTCTCGGGGGTCGGGGCCGACTCTCGCTCTCCTGCGTGAGACGAGTTTCGACCCGAGGGCCCTTGCCAGTAAACTGCCTCTTGCAAATTGCAACAAGTCTGTCTCTCGTGTCTCCCTGGGTGTGTGCTGATCAGGACTTGAGTCGGGGGTCCTCTTCGAGGGTCCTTACAGTGTGAGTGTGTGTGTGTGTGTCTTTCATTTGGGAATCCAGAACATTGGGGTGGGTAGTGAGGAACTTGTGCCCCCACCAGGCGATTTGAGTAGCATTAATAGCTTACAGTAACACCTCCCTTTGGTTCTTTGTGAGGAACAACAGGAGTCAGTGAGGCTCAATTCTCAAGGCTTCCATTACCAACCACTGAGACCTTTGCTGAGGACCAGAGACACAGCATCTCTTCCCATCAGCCTTCAGTGGTCAATGATCTCAATATGGAACTGCAGGTGAGTGGTGGTGATCACACAGTGACCCCGCAGGAGCGAGCATGACTGGCAGTTGTGATATTTCCAGTGGCCCTGGATGGTGTAGATAGCACTGAGGACCTGGCAGTACCGCCAGTGGATCCGCCACATCCGGACCAGAGACTGGAGCGTCACCACCGCTCTCTCTGTGTTTGAGAAGTCAATCAGCGCTTTCCTCCGTTGCTTCTCCCGGATCCTCCTGAGCGTCATTCGCCACCAGCACTGAATTACCCAGGCTCCGAGGGCTGCATGTAGCAGTGCCCTGCGCACCAGGGTCCCACGCCACCAGGCCTGCACCTGAATGGCTGCTTTTTTTCTGTTTTTCGTGAACTTTTTCTAGACAGAAATAAGAGAGATTGCTTAGAGACCTTCTTGCTACAAACTTCCAGGGTCTTCTTGGAAGGGCTCTGGGCTGTCTCTTAACATTGGGTGATTCTCAGAGAGTTCGGGCATCTAACAAAAGTCTAATTAGGATCCAGGAGACCTGGTAGGGGCCTTTCTCTGCCATTTTGGACACATTATCTCCCCCTCAGCGGCATAGTCCCTCTTTCTCATCCCATGTATTCTAGGCTGGCCTTGATCTCCTTAAATTTCAGTTCATCCTGCCTCTAGCTCCCACAGCTAGTATTAGAGGGATGTGTTTCCACCCTTGGCTTATAGCATTCCTTCTTGCCTACCTAACTGCTGCCTAGATCAAGGGGAAACTAGAGTCACCAGAAGGGTGGGGAGGAGGGCAGCATCGTTAGGCACACACCGTCTTTAGGGCTCACTGGTTTGGGAATGTTTGCTCTTCTAATACTTTTTGCCCGGCTTACACTGTCTGATTGTCCTCTGCAATAATCGTGTATTTTGATTTTGTGATAGGGTTTGCAGCACTTCCTGCATATTCTTTGACCAACCCCCCTGTAGTTAGAATATTCTGCTTAATTCAGAGTACTCATGTCCTTGACTTCTAGCCCCAAGCTGTTTCTGACCAGTTTCCCTCTTCCCAGTCTCTATGTCAGAGTCAGACTCAGATCCAAGAGTCTAGGCCAAGAAGGAGACATAGGGGAATGAACAAATATTAACTTGACTCTTGGTTATTTTAGACTGAGATGTATATATGTAGAATCCCACACCTGTTGAGGTTTGACCTGTTGCTATGCATTGGAATGCTAAGTGTGGGCCTCAAGACCTGGCTGCCCCAGAGACAAGAGACAAGCAGACCCAAGTGACACTGTGTGACCTTGCCCCCAAGTTATTTCTGATTGGCAAATAAAGATGCCTACAGCCTGTAACTGGGCAGAATTGAGGTAGGCGGGCTTGGTGTTCCCAGCCTTGGGGTTGGGGGAGACCACAGGGAGAGAGAGAAGACAGTGGAGAGAGGAGAAAGCTGCCATGGGTCAGGGGTGAAGAAAGCACGGCCACAGGGGCTGGCCAACTGTAGTTAGAGCAGCCTAGATGAAGCATAGTGAGTGATAGTTTTAGGTTATTGATGGGAAAGCAGATTCTAATATCATAGAGGGTAGGTGTCTGCCCAGCTCTAGTGCTGACTGAGGCTTATTGCAAATAATAAAAGTTGTGTATCTTTTTTCTGGGAACTGAATGACTGAAGGCAGGGTAGAAGCCTTGGATTGAGAGTAAATATTTTCTACAATATATTGGCACCGGACATGGAGCAAAAACTCACTTTAAAAAAGTTAATTTCTGGGCCGGGCAGTGGTGGCGCACGCCTGTAATCCCAGCACTTGGGAGGCAGAGGCAGGCAGATTTCTGAGTTCGAGGCCAGCCTGGTCTACAGAGTGAGTTCCAGGATGGCCAGGGCTACACAGAGAAACCCTGTCTCGAAAAAAAAAGAAAAAGAAAAAGAAAAAAAAAAAGTTAATTTCAGGGGCTGGAGAGATGGCTCAGTGGTTAAGAGCACTGACTACACTTCCAGAGTTCAAATCCCAGCAACCACATGGTGGCTCACAACCATCTGTAATGAGATCTGATGCCCTCTTCTGGTGTGTCTGAAGACAGCTACAGTGTATTCATATATAATAAATAAATAAATCTTAAAAAAAAAAAGTTAATTTCAGAGTCCTGAATAAAAAACACATGCGGTCTCTTTAAGACTATGGAGGTGGGGAGAATTGGTTCCTTAGCAAAGTTGGATAATCTCCAAGGCACTTGTTTTTTTCCCCTAAGCTGCATGGGATTCAAGACTAGGGCAAAAATATGCACACATGATTCTGGCGTTTACAGTGTGAGCTAAGACACAGCCGTGTCACACTCCCCCAAACCAAACCAAACAACATGCCAAGTGGCAGGCTCAAACCCCAGCCTGGGGTCTTCCCAAGTGCTGCCTTGGAGATGCTGCTGGATCTCTCAGATGCTAAAAGGCCCTGCTGTGCAATGAAGCAGGCAAAGTCCTGCTACTCAGAGAGCAGAAAGCAAGGCTGCATACTTCCCGAAATAAAAAAAAATTATAGAGAGTAACAGAAATTAAGATGTCAACACTACCTTAAGCAACAGTTTTCCTTCAACTTTGCCTCCACGGAAAAACTGGGACTGCTTGGCCTAGCACGGGACACACACATGATGGCTTGAGAATGTGCTTGTACAGTAAATAAATAAAATTTAAATAAAGTTAAATATAGAGAAGGATATTAAATTAATTTATATAAAGAGAAAGGGGATATAAGTGTATTTACCCACAGAGATAGAAATCTCCAAAGAAGAGAGAAAGAAATGAGAACTGATATAAATGTTTTTAAGGATACACAGATAAATAAATAAATCCAGGTCTTTGATCTCAACACTTGGGAGACAAAGGCAAGCACAGGTAGAATTTTTGTGAGCTTGTGGCCAGCCTAATCTACAGAGCAAGTCCACGTTGGCCGTGGGTACACAGAAAAACCCTGTCTCAATAAATAATAATTGTTTTAAATATCAAAATTAAGATGGTTATAATTTTCAGTGATTATAATGGTATTACAAATCTTCTATGAAAGAGGTCAAAGGAGAGACCTAAGTAAAATAGTGGCTGCTAAATTGAATCAATCTATACTTTTGATGACTTCAGGTTTCTGAACCAAGGACATGATATTTTGGGAGAAAGATTCTGTATCTGTGTTAACAGGAAAGGAAAAAAAAAGGCCTTGGACTCCTTCCAAAGTAATAAGGATCAGCTGTGATAGAAGAAGACCCCCTGAAGGTCTTGGCTGAGGACAAAATGAAAGAAATCAAAAAGACCAAACAACACAGGCTATGTGATTTTCTGATTGTTTCTTCTACATGGGAATAGCCCTTTAAACTGTCTGAAACATAAAACTGCCTCTAGCCGGAACTTCAGGTATGCATAGCCAATGGATCTTGTTGGCTACAGAGTCTTCAAGACTCATTATGCCATCCTTCCCTATGGCATGGATGGAGATTTATATTACAGTCTGATTATATGACCAAACTAACTCTAAAGAAAGATGGTTGTCTTTCACCTGATCAAGCTAAGAGCAGAAAATCACCCTTAATTGATCTGTATACCTTTCACATTTTATACAGATGTCTTTATAGAATTATGTGTATTGCTTGTAATATTTATGTATTACAGAATGAAACAGCAAGAGGGTAGCCCTGACAGGATTCACCCTCGAGGATGCTGAGCTGGGAGGTGTTCCAGCTCCCTAATCAATCATGCCTCAGACTGATGCTGTTTCCAGAGACTTGCTTCTAGAACAATTTCAAAAAGGACTCCTGATCCCAAATGACCTTGGTTCATCCAGCCTTTCAGACTGTTCCAATCAAGACTTCAACTAAGCCCTGAACTTTCCCAGCACATTGAGACTGGACAGAAAATAATGCCAGCTAGCTTTCTTTTGACTTAACTGTTTTTTAAATTTCTTTTTGGGCTTCTAAGCAGAAATCTTTTGTCCCAATTCTATAAGAATCAATTATAAGAAGACTGTTTTCCCAATCCCTTAAGTAGGAATGGATGGTTTTGGTTATTTTATGAATTATAGATATGTTGTTTTTTTTTTTGTTTTTTTTTTTTTTTTTTTTTGGTTTTTCGAGACAGGGTTTCTCTGTATAGGCCTGGCTATCCTGGAACTCACTCTGTAGACCAGGCTGGCCTCGAACTCAGAAATCCGCCTGCCTCTGCCTCCCAAGTGCTAGGGTTAAAGGCGTGCGCCACCACTGCCCAGCAATATGTTGTCATTTTAAAGGATGGTTTTCAAATAATTATAGTTTTGAACAGGGAGAAAACAAGGAACTTAGACTTAGGGATTTCTGTCTTTCCTTTCCTCTTTTCTATCTTTCTTTCTTAGAAAGGGAAAGTAGGTTGAGAAGAAAAAGGAAGAGATATAGGAATATTATAAGAAGTTAGACAAATAGGGGTAGGTTATTGAATCTATTCTTAAACAAAAGCGTTTTATAGCCATAATCTTACACTGGTACAAATCTTTATATTTTGATGCAGAATTAAAATTATATTTTCTTACATTGATACAAATCTTTGTATATTGATACAAAATTTAATATTTTATGTAAAATTTTTGTTACATGATTATGTATTTTCAAATCTTGTATAGGTATTATGCCTATGCAACTCATTTAAGAATACAAGGCTCCATACCTCTTTAGCTTGAGGGTGGGGAAGAGGTGCCACTTGTTTCTTTCTAAATATTTTTTTGGTTGCTTTTCTTTTTTTGTTTAAACAGTTGCTCTTAGGACCATACCTAGTTCTAATCTGACATAAAGGACCCCCACGACATAATTTCTGTGAATAAGTGTCTCCCAGATTTAAAAATTTTTGGATAGGAAAATTCATAGCCTCCATCTTAAACTTGTTGGAAAACAAATCTCAGAAAAAAAAAGAATACAAGGCTCAGACCCAGTCCTTTTAATAGCTGCTATTACAAACTGTTTAAAATAATTAAGCTATGTAAATTAATAGTCAGATAGTCAAACTCATGGTCATATTAGATACTAATTTAGTCAATTACAATAAAATGTTTTTAAAGTTTTTCAAATAGTAAATAGCTAAAAATAAACAATCTTTAACAATTCAGATATGTTATATATAGATGGATGGTCTTCAAAAGCATCAGAGATCCACAGAATCTGGCATTTAAAATAATTTCATTATTAAAAGATCTTTTGACTGTGAGACAGACTTGCTCCTGACAGTGCCTCCATTCCTCTATAAAGATGACGGGCATCCATAACCTCCATATGGGTTGCTTCAATTATGGCAAACTAGCAACTGGGGGGGGGAGGATGCCCTAACTTTATCTGCAGACAGAATGCTGTCCAAAAAGGACAAACAGATGCAGGATAGTTGACTGCTAAGCTCTGCCAAGACAGGGTAAGATGGTCCTTCATGATTCCTGCTTTCCTTAAAGCCTGTCCAATGTTCTGGGCCAGAAGACAGATGCTCCAGCATTATAAGGAATATTGAGGACTGTCCAGGCACTAAGCCATCTCTGTCATTTCTGTGATTTTTGGAAGCTGCATCCCTGTGCTTCCTGTATACTCAAATATGTATTC